CTTTGCTTCTCGTTTAAGTCTACAGTTTCATAATACTTCCTTGACGACGACCATGGTGATTTGCTAAAAATGGTGATTTGTTAAAAGCTTTGTTTGTTTGTAACAAAGCAGCTACACAATGGGCTATCTGTGCTGTGGCTCCCACGGGCATCGAAACCCGTTTTATGACGCAAAAGCTTGGAGAGCCAAGAAGTGCAAAATTTCATGATCTTTTGTAGTGATAATGTGACAAGGCCGGACGATAAAAAAATATCGTCATTTTACAAGTAAATCCCACTCTGAACTTTTTCATAGCCCTTCTTACGTCTCACATAGAATGTTCATATCTACTTCTTATCATAATCCGAAATATTAACATCGCTAGCGACGTACTAACGCAACTGATCTACCAATTAACACACAATAACTCATTACCTGCCAGTAATGTATTATCCCATTCTAAAATTTGTGCAACATTATTCAATAAAATCTCTAAGATGCGAGACGAAATATGAAAGAGCAAGAGAAAGACTGATACATAGATGGGATCGATAACAGTTGGTCTGGTCCTGGGAAGTTCTTTTTTTTCATACGAGGAAAGTACAAACTCAAAATTCATGACACCAAAAAAAATGTCCAAGGGAGAAAAATTATGAATAAATACTAATCTTGATTCAAATTATATTTAAAGAACTTATTATTCTTTCTTTATGCACTCCTAACAAAATGGCGTCTAATTAATACCATGAAATACATTACTAAATTAGTTTAAAATTCTTAAGTCCGAAGGTATATAAGTATAGTTTTTATTTATCGGCACTTTAATGTCAATTAGTTTTGATTTTTATGAAAATAATGTTTATGAAAGAGGTTGGAAACTGTTACAACATGAATTGCCACAATAGACTATTATAGAACAATTACCTACGACAGTATAAACTGGAGCATCAATGTAGAGTTACAATGATTATGAAATTTTTTGCTAAAAACAATAATACTTAAACATTTCAATTTTTATGAGACAAAATTTTTTACATCGCTATGAAATTAATTTTTGTTGACGAAAACGAGTGAATTTGAAGGTGGTTGGAATATTCTCTAAAACACCAAACATTAATACGTTAAATCCGAGAAAGGAACATTTTAAGTAACGATTTTTGATAAATAAAACCTCTTCACAATAGTTGTTGAGTATTGATTTCTGACAGAAGGCCCCACATTGGCTCAGCGGTAAATCTGAGGGCTTATAACAACTAAAAATCTAATGTCAATACAAGCAGTGGCCAGTGGACAGAGAGCCCATTGTATGTATAGCTTTGTGCTTAACAGCGAAATAAGAAAAAAAATTGGCAGATAAAACATATCATAAACTAGTTAATACTTTTGGCAAAAAAATGGTAAACTTTAAGGTGGTAATTTATTATTAAAAAACGCACCTATGGTGTTTGATGTGGTGACGGAATGTTGAACCATAATCAACAAGAGCCGTTTGAACAACAAGTGTTTTTTCACGTAACTCATATTACTTGTTGTTTGTTTGTTTTTGAATTTCGCGCAAAGCTACATGAGGGCTATCTGCCCTAGCCGTCCCCAATTTAGCAGTGTAAGACTAAAGGGAAGGCAGCTAGTCATCGCCACCCACCGCCAACTCTTGGGTTACTCTTTTATCAACGAATAGTGGGATTGACCGTCACATTATAACGCCCCCACGGCTGAAAGGGCGAGCATGTTTGGTGGGATGGGGATGCGAACCCGCGACCCGCAGATCGCGAGTCGAGCGTCCTAACCACCTGGCCATCATTGAACAGAACTTTACATATTCTTATCGTCTACATTTCATTGCAATTAAAATGTGGAAGGTAGTTTTACTTTCAAATTGCATACGAAATGAATTGCACTATTTTCAGAAAATGTATATACATACAGTAGTTATCAGTGACAATTTCTCTTATATATATTGTAAAATGCGTTATCATGTTTTCCTCACACAGCATGCCGCAAAACCTTATTTATCTTTAAGAGTATCACAAATGAAAGTTCAAATACTCACGAATTTTCGTATTTCAACAATCTTTAACTAAAATAGTATGATATTCTCAGATCCACTGATTTATCTTTTAGTTAGTAACTTCAAGCAATAGTTTCCCCTATTTAAGGCTCATCACCACAGCTTGGGTCAAATTTTTAAATTTTACCTTTGGTGAAAATGAAAGTGATCTGTAATATAATCATTAAACAGTTGGTCCGCTGTGTTATATCTAATAATAAATTAGGTGTAATGCCATTTATTGTTCACACATCTAATTTAATTTAGGTTACTATATGGTGAGCTCAAAAAGGGGCCCAAAAAAACCATAAATATTGCTAATTTTACACCAATAGTCTAGAGAGAAGGCAGTTAGTCAACAATTCCCATCTTCAACTTTTGAGCTAGTCTTGTGAATCAGAATAATTGGGTTTGAACATCACTCTTATGGGGCACCCAAGACCCTAAAGTGGAGCTCGCGTTTTTGTGTGTCAAAGGAAAGCTTACCATAAATTTCCATATTCACAGTCAGGGTATGCTAATTACAAGGCGACACCCGTCTCAAGTTATTTGAAAGTGTGCTACCTACCTGGAACTGATATACGTGCTAGCAGTATCACTCTTGAAAACTAACATTGTTTTCAGCAGTAAAATGCTGTCAAAACGAACCTAAGAACTTTCATAATACTATTGAACTTCAACACTTAGGATTTTTTTAAAGTTGTGGTCTTAGAGTTTAAGAAACAGAGTGACCGTATAACAAAAGTAACCGATCATGTGACAAAAGCGTCAGAAAATAATTGTTTTCAGAGTAACAGAACAAAACATACCAATTATGAATATTTAATTGTGAAAATGTTATCTATGCAATTTCTTGTAGGTATTTTGGCACATTTAAATAGAAAGAAAATGTAATTTGTATAAATTTTATGTATTAAATTTTGTTTCGAAAATCCAAAACTCTTTTAAAAAAATATATTTTTCAAATGTTTGGGAGTACTTTCGAGTGCAATTTTACACATACCTGGCAGAAAGTATAGATTTGGATGTTCTGTAGAAATAAGTTATTTTAGTTTATATTCCAAATAAACGTCGTTTTAGTGGGTGAGCCACTAAATCTAACCATTACTTCGTTATGTTTTGTTTTTTAAATTTGTTTATGTGTCCAATAAAACATTTATTTTATAGATCCAAATTAATTTTATAAAACTTAAGTAAATTGACTTGTTTGTCTTATTTTTGATACTATGTCGTTTTAAAAAGTAATTACTCACAGTCACCTAAAACAGTTTCATTTCATCATTTTAATAAATTTAATAACATTCATACCGTAATAAAACAATACATGAGAAGGTGGTAGGATCCTCTTTATATCGGGAGAAGTGGAGGGATTTAATAAGTTTGTAATTCCCTATTGCTTTCTTCTATTTGCCCAACTCCACAAATGAATGCATAAACAGAATGTAAAAGCACCAACTCCTCCTGGTGGGTACCTCAACATTATATTTCAGATCTTATTACATAAAGTTCTGGGTCTGACCTCAGCGATGGCCAAAGCGTATTAGCCCATTGTGCAAGTTTGTGCATAAGAACAAACGAACAAAAACATTTACAAAACAAAATAGCATAAATGTTAGAAAAAGTAGTAACAATGGTAGTATTTTAGAGAGAAGTTGAACGATTCTACCTAATGATTTGGTTTTGGTCGTTGTTAAGCACAAAGCGACAAAATGGACTATCTGTGCTCTGCTCATCATTGGTATCGAAATATGGTTTCTAGCGTCGTAAGCATGCAGACTTATCGCTGAGTCACTTATGGGGGCTGTATCAAATAATATTTGAAATAAACCACAAGCTGGCCAGTAGCCAGAAAGTATAGGTATAAACAGATTTTCTATTATAACACCAACAAGCGTATTCCCACAAAAATGTCAATAAATATGTTTATGCAACACTTACTTTAAAGAGCGTAAATAAATTGCACAACAAGATTGTTTTGTTTTTGTTGCGTAGGTAAAATTATTACTCCGTAGAGATTTGGTGTATTGATTAACATTCATGCAAGACTAATATTTCCGTTTCTCAAGTTTCAGCTATTGGAATATTAATCCACTAATTTATATGCCTTCTACAGTTATTGAACAAGACATTTCTGTCACGAATAACTTTCCATATATTTTTCTAGAGTGTAATCGTTTCTAGGAAATTTGTTTTTCATGGAAAATGACTTGTTGAACCTTGTACCTATATTATAACAATAACAACTGGCACTTTCTCAATAAGCTACCAATATGTTTTTACTTATTGACTTTGTACTTATATATTTTAATTTCATTTCAGCCTTAACTTCCAGATGACTCAGCAGTAGATCTGGGAGCATACAATGTTAAAAATCGAGATTCGATTTCTGCAGTGAGCAGAGTGCAGATAGCCTGTTTTATTGGTTTGTGTTTTACAATAAACAAGAACTTCATTACTTTTGTATACTTCATTGCATTCTCACTCTCAACACAGATCAGTGTTAATTTTATCGTGAATGAACCAATTCTAGATTCTTTATTCGCAAATTATCACAAAGATATATGAAACAGAAAATTAGACTCTAAACTATGATATTATATCTATCACAAAGACTTGTATTTTAAGCAACATGCATTTTAATTTTTGTAGATAGAATATCGATTTCACGTAAATTTATGGAATAACTAATACTGACAAGTTTCTCTAGTGCTCCACCAACTTCTCAGCTATGTGGATTGTTTAAATAATCTTTATAGTCATCTCTAATGTATAAGTGCTACAACCAGAAACGTTTAAATTTAACGTATGTCTAGAAATGTATACACGAACATTCTTTTTAACAGAGAAAATGGCAACATTGAGTCCATAAATGACACATGACGATTACAAGATGAATTAATTTTAGTGATTTTTTTTTTCCTTATTCTCCGAATACATTTCACTAAATAAATAAAAGATTATGAAACTCGTTTTTTACATTTTTTCTAATGTAAGTGAGCTAATAGTTTTTCTGTAGTTCTAAGGATTGTACCTGTGCTGTAGGTTATTTCACTTATCAATATTCAATATTCCTGAACTTCGACGGCTAAGAAACTTTTGACGAAAGCTTACCTTTATCTCGGCTTAAACCGAAAAATAATGAAATAATACTTTATATCATTCCATGTGAATAAACTCGAGGTATACTAAAAGAGTAATAAATATTACATAATGCAGCTTCACCTCCTAACAGCTACTGAAGAAAATGTTCGTTAAATACGATATCTTGAAAATGTTCGTTAAATACGATATCTTAAAAATGTTCGTTAGATACAATATCTTGAAAATGTTTGTTAAATACGATATCTTTAAAATGTTCGTTAAATACGATATCTTAAAAATGTTCGTTAAATACGATATCTTGAAAATGTTTGTTAAATACGATATCTTGAAAATGTTTGTTAAATACGATATCTTGAAAATGTTCGTTAAATACGATATCTTTTTGTTTTTACAAATATTCTCTAATTCCTTTCATTAACTAATTTAATAATACGTTTTCCACACAACTGTTTTATAAGATTATCTTTTTCATCCTTTAATTTTCATAGATTTTTTTACAATACTAGTAGTTTATAAATGTGACGATACAGTTAAACAAGCTATTCACGCTATCACCTTGGTAAATGGATTCGTCTTTAGTAAGTTTCAAAACTTTTCATCTAATTTTTACACAACAAAGTTAGGGTGTTTTTTCTCTCAATTTTTTCGAACTACCAAGTAATTACAGCAATATTTGTGTAGTTAATTATAATCTTAAATATAGTTGAAAATATTAATTGTAATTGTGAATTCTAATTGCATAAGCTTCAAATACTACCTAATTCCAAATAGGTACATAAATACTTGACTGGGCGTCTTTTTTACATATTACCGAGCTCCAACTAAACATATAATTATTTGATTTGGACTCTTCTTAAATCTTTAAATATGGCTTCTCATCTGAAACTTCTCTATACGTAGTGATTATTACCTATTTTATGTAGCTATTTTTCAGGTAAATGATTCTGGAATTTCTAAGCTAATCCTTTCGTTCAATGAGAATCATAACTTGGATTGGTCAAAATGTACATTGAAATTTTGAAGATGAAACCAAGTAAAAATTACCCTTTTTGCTAGTTTTTTTGGAACATTCTATAGGTAGTGATATACTGAAGAATGGTATATCTTTTGTATGGTTATTGAAAATGTTACTTTTAAACGCTCTTTCTATTCTTTTTATTCGTTAAATTTAATATGTGAATTCACACGTTATTTTAAATACTTACTATATGATTTCATTCAAAGTTCCACTTTATTCATCTTTTTATTGACTTTTTTGTTTGAAATATCAAATAATGTTAATTTCTTCTTATACCCAATTACAAAATGTTTCCAGCACGTCAAAGGAATTGACATTTTTATTTTACCTGCTACATTATTTACTAAAATAAACAGGTGTATCAATGGTAAGCTTACAGACTTACAATGTCAAAATCCAGGATTAAATTCTCCGCGGTGGACACAACGTAGATAGCCCACTGTGTAGCTTTGTACTTACACACACACACACACACACAAACAAAAAAAAAACTACAACACAGAACTAAACTAAAGCATGACTCATTCTCTCTCGGGTATTTTTTATTTTGTTTTATTTTTCTCTAACTTTAGCATCTATTCCATTTGTAGAAACCTGAATTAAAATAAAACACATTTGTGTATGTAAAAGGGTTGAGTGTTTCCTACAGTAGTAAAACTTACAAACTAATATAATATAATTTTTGCTACTAAAATGAATGCTCTCCCTTTATCGGTAAGAATCGACAAGAAAAGATTAAGAGTGCCTCGATACTAACAATAGTTTCTTCCATGTAGAATAAAACGTTACATATCCAAACGTGAGACAGCATATTAATTCTTTGCAGCTTTTAATATCTGTTTAATTGAATACAAATAACTTTAGCCAAGTTACAGATCTTTAATTAGATATCATTGATATGTGCTTAATTTTCTTTTGTATGTATTTCTACTAGTATAAAACTTTAATAGTCGTTGATAATCTTAAAAAAATATTTGGGAAGCAAATATTTTCATGTATCTTGTTTACAGTTTCGCTTAATTCTGCGAACTGAGAGTGTCTAATTCTTTATATCACGTGTGAAACTGAAATATTAAGGATGGTATAATCTAGAAGTTCTTCCAACATATTAAAGTTGTTTGTCTATTAGTTATGTTTTGTTATGGATGAGTAATTTTTTTATTTTAGTTGAGAAATATGTTGAGATAATAACGTACACTTGATATTTTGAGCTATTGGTTACTTTAATTTGAAGTTTGTATATTCTTAGATTAATTATTTAAATCTTTAACATTTTTAGATGTTACTATAAATGTCAGTGAAATTAAAAGAGGTGGTCTCAATGACGCTGAGGTTTGTATCATGAGAATCTTGTTCGTCTACATAATTTGTTCATTTTGAGTTATCACTAAAGCTTTTTAATAGATTCCACGCCTTGACGCTATGTCATTTTATCTTACCCGATACTAAACTCCAAAATCTAATGATTGTAAAGTACACATTGTGGTATATTTAGATTCAGTCATATTCGATATCTTATCAGTCTATGTAGAGCACGCCCCCTAGTGGCACAGCGGCATGTCTGCGGACTTATAACGCTAGAATCCGGGTTTCGATACCCGTGGTGGGCGAGCACACATAGCCCATAGTGTAGCTTTGTGCTTAATTACAAACAAACAAACAAACAATGTAGAGCACCAGAACAAGCATTTCAATTGTGATATGCAATGAAACGTATCGGAATAGTTAATGAAATAAGTGATTTGGTTAATTCAATAATCAGTTTTACTTCTATCCCATGAAATACAAGGTAAATAACGGATTATTAGTAAACCAAATCCGTACTTTATCACTTTATATAGATAGACAGTTATTAATCAAAAACATATTTTCATACATCCGTTCTCCTTCTGATACAAAGAAAAAATCCCTAACTTATGTTAATCTTAAATTTCACGTTTGAGAAACACTTTAAACAGCATTTCTTTTTGCTTCTATAGGCAAAGAATAGTCTTATAATATCACAGAATAATCTTCCATCATTTTTTATAATCAGTATCTTTATTTACAGAATAAAAACAATGAAAAGTTACGCATTTGTTTTAACAATACTACAGGTTAACTACAAAATATACTATTGTGGTAAATGGTTAAGCAAGAGGAAGAAAGAATACGAAAATCTGCTTACACAAACTAACAAATGGGTTGATTTAACTTATAACGTGTCATTTTTCTACCTTCACAATAATTGTTTTCTTTAATTAACAAGGGTAAAACCAAACAGAATTCCACACACACACACACACATATATATATATGAACAAAAATAACATCATAGGTTTCAAACTATAGAATGGGTTTGTTGTTTTCAGATACTCGAGTAATTGTACTCAACGGCTATCTGCGCTAGCTGTCCCTAATTTTGAAATAATAGATTAGAGAAAAGACAAATAAGCAAGAGCACTCACTGCCAACTCTTTGGCTACTCATGTTAGACCGAATAGTGGGATTTGACTGTCACCATTATAATGCACCCACTACCCTAAAGTGCAGAGTGTGTTTTGTTTTTTTGTAATGGGACCCGAACTATAGATCTGCAGATCCACAGTCTGGCACTCTAAACATTGGACCACTCTCGATCTCTATAGAATGAGAATGAACTTCTACATACTACAAACGAAACATAAACCTGTTATATTAACAATAAAAAAAAGGTTGTAGTATATCGTCTCCCTACATAATAGAGTACATCTTACTATTCCCTTTCTATACTTTATACTCATTTTATTCGCCTGATTTCTATGTTCAACAAGAGCCGAGTATGGCCTATAAATTAACTAAAGGTTCAAGGTTTAAGCTACGAAACGCAACTGATAACTCTGCTGCACTTTGTAACCGTGAGGGTATTAAAACTGTGGCACTCACTCTCGCTGTTCGATTAAAAGCAGTCGCATAAGAGGCGAGCGTTCCTAACTTGTTGCCTTTCCTTTCGTCAGTAGTTCTAAATTGGAAATGGCTATGGCTGTATTAACTCGTCCACTCGGGCTGAAAAAGAGCGATGCAATTTAATTGTCTGAAATTTAAAAAAATAAATTTAAGATAGTAAAATAATTTAATTAAAGTTAAGAAAATATTCATAAGAGTGAGATCGGTAGAATTAAAGAACTATTAAAATGAAAGATATTAATTAATTTCCCATATATCTCGGTTTTTGAGTTTGGTCTTTTGTTCATCACCTGGTGCAACAGATGAAGCATGTTGAGGTATCCATTGTATTTCTGGTGTTCGTGAAACG